AAAATTATTTTTAAATCTAAAAATTTTGAACAGATAATTGTTGTATATATTATGATATTAAATATAAAATTACTTTGGAAAAATAAGGATTTGATATTTGTCGATTCCCCATTTCAGTTATCAATTAAAAATTATTCTACTGTTTATATAATTAAAAAATTTACTAAAATTAAATTTGTATAATTAAAAATCTATTTAAGTGATAGTAAAAAATTAAAATTTAATACAATAGATTTCGCACGCTTCAAACGCGCCTTAGCCGTTGAAAATATCGTTAATCCGGCGCCACAAATAGCCTGTAGTGATTCCTCCCCAAAAAACTCCTGAACTGATAGAAAACTCTTAACAGAGAAATCAAGAGAAGTTGTTCAATGCTAATCTGCACTAATTCGATTCAAGGATGGAACTCCACGCTTCCCACTCTCCTTCTTCTTGAACAATGCAAAACCCTAAACGATGTAAATCAAATCCACTCCCGCTTGATAACAACTGGTTTCGTAAAAAACACTGCTTTAACCTCAAAAATCGTCCTCGCCTTCACTTCCTCCCCACATCCGCCGCTTCTAGAATTTGCTCGCTACCTCTTCTTCACGCATCATGCTTTCAGGGTTTGTCGGAAAGAAGACGACAGCCTTTTTCTTTGGAACGCTGTAATCAAGTCGTACTCTCATGGGCATGACCCGGAGCAAGCTCTGGTTATGCTCTGTTTGATGCTTGAAAATGGAGTTTGGGTGGATGAATTCTCGTTGTCTTTGGTTCTGAAGGCATGTTCGCGACTGGGTATGGTAAGGGAAGGAATGCAGGTACATGGGTTGTTAAGGAAAATGGGAATAGTGCTGAATTTGTTCCTGCAGAATTGTTTAATTGCTCTGTATGTTAAATCTGGGTGTTTAGGTTTTGCACGCCAAGTGTTTGACAGAGCGGAGAAAAGGGACTCTGTTTCATATAATTCAATGATCGATGGGTACGTTAAACATGGGTTTATTGATTTGGCAAGAGAGCTGTTTGATTCTATGCCAATGGAGGAGAAGAATTTAATTTCCTGGAATTCTATGATTAGTGGTTATGCACAATTAGACGGTGGACTCAAGGTTTCCCGCCAGATGTTTGATGAAATGCCCAACAGGGACTTGATTTCATGGAACTCAATGATTGATGGGTGTGTAAAATGCGGGAGGATGGAGGAAGCTCAAGCATTGTTTGACACGATGCCCCAGAGGGATGTGGTCAGCTGGGCTAGCATGATCGATGGGTATGCGAAACAAGGTGAGGTTGAGCTAGCAAGGACCTTGTTTGATGAAATGCCCGTTAGAGATGTTGTGGTGTGTAATGCTATGATGGCTGGCTATGTTCAAAATGGCTATTTCATGGAAGCTTTAAAAATTTTTCATGAGATGCAGAGTGAAAAAAACTTGTCCCCTGATGAAGCCACTTTGTTAATAGTTCTTTCAGCAGCTGCACAATCAGGGCTTGTCAAAAATGGGGTAGCAATACATCATTACATAGTGAGAAATAAGTTCTATTTAGGTCGAAAACTAGGTGTTGCACTTATTGACATGTATTCGAAGTGTGGCCATATACAAAATGCTATGTCGGTTTTTTATGACATAAAAGGAAAGATTGTTGATCATTGGAACGCTATGATTGGTGGGCTGGCCATTCATGGCAAGGGTGAATTGGCCTTTGGTTTGCTCATGGAGGTGGAGAGGACTTCTCTAGAGCCAGATGATATCACGTTCATC